CCAACACTGTGCTCCTGCCTGCGCCCAGCGCTGGGGGCTCCAACAGCCAGACCCTGCAGTGCAGCTCTGCCAGGCAAGGGCTGTCCTTTAGGTGACGCTTGTTGGAGTCCAGTGCTCTTTCTGTTCCTTTCACTTGGTTTCTCTCAATTGCTTTGTAACACCTTGTGCTCTAATTGTTTACCCTAGCCTGCCTATGGGATTTTTCCTGTGCAGATCAAAGTATTTAATTCTGGAATATTACAACTGTTTAGTTACAATGTGGAAGGAGATGGAAGAAAAATCAGTGATCAGTTTTAAATTATTGTACATTTCTAAGTATTTATCTCACGTAAAAACTGTCATCATTCGTGACTGTCCTGACTTTTCACTTTTTCTCCTGCTGTTACACTTATTAGGATCTGTGTGCTTGTATTCATGCCTACGCAGGATACTAAAACTTCTCTCTAAAGCAAAATATGAGTAAATTTTACATGTAAAACCACCTGTCGTAACTCTGTTGCATTTCCCCTGAAGTGATTGGCTGACTTCAGGTCTGACAAAGCCCTTTCCTTCTGTTCTCAGCTTCTATCTGTACTAGTAGGGGTAGAAAGACACCCAGTAATCAAGCCAGACAACTGCACAGACTGTCTCTGTGACCATATGAGGTCAGTGGGCTGTGCTGATCTTCCTGAACGTTTAGAAACTTCTGTTATTATCAAATGATGATTTTGGATGCCCCATCCCTGGAGGCATTCAAGGCCAGGCTGGATGTGGCTCTGGGCAGCCTGGGCTGCTGGTTGGCAACCCTGCATATAGCAGGGGGTTGGAACTGGATGAGCATTGTGCTCCTTTTCAATCCAGCCCGTTCTGTGATTCTGGTAGTTAAGAATTCAAGAGCTAGCAAGTTGGCCTAATGAACTAAGAGCTCTGTGATCTGGACGCACCCATGAGCTCTGCATTCGCTTGTCTCTCTGTCTGGGTTCATGAAGGGTGTTTGAGGAGGCAGGGTACGAACCATCTCCCAGATTATTTGTTTCCTGGCACAGCACTAGGATTTGAGTCCACAGTGCCTGGTGGTGTTTGCAGGGTCTGAGCCTTACTCACAGAAATGAGGTTCCCCTGATTGCATGAAGCAGAAACAGAGATCTGCCTGGTCAGGGACTGCTGCAGGGCGGTCAGGACCCTGGGCTCTGGAATGTGTATCATCTCCTGCTCAGGTAAAGTCACCTTCAGTGCATATTATTCTTCAGGCTTCTCTAGAAAGACATTTTTAAAGAAGACTTAAGTCTGTGCAGATTGGGGTTAGGGTTGGGGATTCATTGTTCTGCACCAGCCACCACAGGTAAGGCAGAAGCTGAGAGAGTTGCAGTACATAACAGCCTTTCTGGGATTGCGTTGTAGTAAAAATGCATGCTTACAGACTGTATGCAGTTAGTGCAGTAACACATCTAAGCTCTCCTTAAAATGGAACAAACAAGGAGCTTTCTTCCTTGAGCTTAAAACTTTAATCATTTGGGGCATTTCATGACTTGTAAAGTGTTTCTGTAGGTTACTTAGGTACTGGTTACAGTGCTATTGTAGGTACTAATATTACTTTTTACAAGTAGCGTTAAAAATATGATTAACAAAGTAAAGCCAAGTCGTGGACTTTGAATTACTGTAATTTAACTTCACTGTTGATACGGCCTCTGATTGTGTGAGACATGAATTGAATTGACATAATCTTCTCAAGAAAAGGGCCTGGGCTTTGGCCCGGCAAGAAACTTTCTTTTTGCTTTTGTTTCGTTGCATTACAGCAGTGAGTTATATCTGCACTCCATCATGTTACAAGTTAACAGTTATTTACAGAAACCTGATTAAGTCTGTAACAATGCGGAAGATAGTGATAGCTGTAATTTCCATTCCATTAGGGCTTTACTTCTTTTCAATTGCATGTTTAGAATTACGCTGTCAAAGCCTATCTTTAATGTTGATAGTAACAGTTTCTGAAGCTGTATGGGTACTAATTTCAAAATTAGTTTAAAAAAAAAACAAACAAAAGAGAGAGAGAGATTGAAACTGTAGAAAGTCAAGCAGTGAGCAAATCAGGGTGCCCAGAAATAAATCTGTAGCTTGAGTACAACCAGCAGTACTATTTTAATAGAGTTATGCATCTAAGAAAAAGCATCTTTATTCTTGTTTTAGTGACTGATGCATTGCATACAAAAGCTTCAGGATTCATAGTTAAAGAATCATAGCATCACAGAATGGTTTGAGTTGAAAGGGCCCCCTAAGGGCCACCTGGTGCCACCCCCTGCAATGCACAGGGACCCCCACAGCTCCATCAGCGCTCAGAGCCCATCCCCTGCCCTGCAGGGACCACCCCCAAGTCTCAGCCCATGCAGTGCCTCACTGCCCCCATTGTAACACATTTCTTCCTCTTTTAGTTCAGAACCATTTCTCCTTGTCCTATCGTAACAGACCCTGCTTAAGAGTCTTTCTTTCTTACAACCCCCCTTTAGATATTGAAAATTTGCCAGATTTTGTAACTGACAACTCACGTGGCTGTTTATATTTTCCTTTTTTGTAGTATACGTATATCCAATTCAAATAATTTAAATCTGATCTATACTTTTGTTGTGAGCTTTGATTTAAGGTCAGCTCTTTATGCAGGTAACAGGAATTATCTCTTTATGACATTAATATTTTAAAATATCTTAAAATAATCTCTGAAGTTTTTTAATAGCCAAAGGATTTAGTCCGAGTCAGCGGCATTTTATTAGTCACTAATGATACTGTATTCAGTTAGAAATTAATTGGTAGGTTGTAATGTTTCTATCTAGTATGAGGATTGCTTTATTCTGGTGCTGCGTCCTTGTTGCAGGACACTTAAGCAAACCAAGAACCAAAGCAAGCTGGGTCACAGGGAGGTGTACCCATCAATTAAATGTGTGGCAGTGTTTTCTGTTGGATGGACTAATGTGTCAAGGAGATGGGTAGGACCTCATGTTTTTGACAAATCAGCAAATGTTTAATCTCTGGATGTGCAGTATCTCATAAATAATGCAGCAGTCGCTGAACCAAAACAGAACTGTGCCAGGAGGGCCTCTGCTGTTATAGAAGCAAAAAGACAAAATGAAATGGCTGTATCCTTTCTCACTTCTTGAGAAGTCTGTGTGTAGTCATAGGCAGTGGCTGCTGGGCAGCCTTGGGCATCTCGTGGCCCAAGAGCCACCTCTGCTCTCCTGCACTCCAGGCCTGCGTTTTGAGACACTGCAGTAAGGACTGTTGGCACTCACTGTCAGTTTGGAGCATGGTGCAGTTGGTGCCAATTGCAGCAGAGTTTGTAAGCTGTTCAGTAGCTCAGACTGCAGCTGTCTGAGGAATGTGGCGTGGGAGGCATGGAGTATCTCACAGGATCTCTGCGGCATGGAAAAGTGTCCTGAAATCAATGCTTATAAATACCTGAAGAGTGAATGCAGTGCTGGAGCCGAGCTCATCTCAGGGGTGCCCCTGCTTTGCCGGCTCCTGGCTGAGTCCTGGCACAGAGACCCAGGACTGTGGGGTGTTTTCCTTGGGGATCTCCAACCCCACCTGGATGTGGGCCCGGGTGCTGCTCTGGGTCGCCCTGCTGAGGCGGGAGGGACCAGAGGGACCCAGAGGGCTCTGCCAGCCTCGGCCATTCCAGGATTGTGGAGTTCTGTGAACACATAGGAGGCCGTGTGCCGTTTTTGCAGGCTGAGCAACGCGCCCTGTATTGCCTTCATTCTGGAGGTAGCGTTTCAGCTCTTGTCTGTTTGGGACCCAGATACTTGTCCCTGTGAAGTAAGGGATATGCTTAAGCTGTATCCTGCACAAGGATGCTTTCTTTGATGATGAACGTAGTAATAATCCTTGAATAAAGGCTTAAGATCTCAGAAATCCTCAGAACCGTGGAAAATACTTCAGTGTTTGTAAGGAAGGGATACTGATATTTTGCTAAATATGGATGGGCTTATTATGCTTTTAAAATAAGTTTGCTGAGATGGGAGTTTGTATATACGGTACGGATGATTTCTTTGTCTGCATGCATTAATTGATCGTAGATGACTCATTAAAGCCGTTACAGAATTCCTTATTTGAATTGAGTCACTGTTTGAAAGCCAAGTTCTCAGGACTCAGTCAGCAGGAGGAGTTATGATTATACATCCTACCTAAATCAAAATTATGAATGTGTAATATTTTATTTTCAATGGTAACTCATTTCTCATTGTTTGTTTTCTTGTGGGCAATAAACTCTGCTTCTGCATACACTTAGCAACACAGCAGTCAGGCCAGCTTCAAGAAACTTGGCATGTATTCAAGCATCTTAATCCTCTGCTAATACTTTCATATATTTTTCTCTTAAGGTCTGTACATTGTGTGACAAAACTTGTTTCTGTGTGCTTTGCACCAGTACTGATAGTAGCACTTGCACCGCAGGCGTGCCTTGCAGAGGTGAACGTTCTGTTCTGTTCAGTCATTACTGTCGCATCGCTTACCAGCAGGGAAAGCTGTATAAGCGTGTATAAATACTCCCAACGCTCTTGTCAGATGTTTAATTTTATGCCTGCTCTGAAGTTGGCAGTCATTTGCTGTGCCCACCTCACTCTGAGATGGAGATCCTGTAGCTGGCTCTCTGGGCTATTAAATACCTTAACGCTACTTTTGTTCCTGCAATATGCAGTCTCCAGAAGTTGCGAAAGAACTGTGGGAATGCGTTCTGTGCTTAGAAAGGCACTTGTCTGTTTTACTAACTGCATCCATCAATTTGGCATTTCTGAACGTATGCCTGATTATTGTCCTTACCTTGCTTAGTCAGCTGTTAACAGTCTTCTTTATAACTCTGCATTAAGCATCAGAGAAATAGCTGAGGAAGTTAATACTTTTATAGATGCCATGAAATCTAAAAATATATATATATTACTTATCGTATGCTTATTTGTTGTTGTTGGAAAGCGTGTTGCTTTGGTTTCAGTAAGCCAAAGTAGATGTTTTATACTTTCCTATGTTGTGTTTTACAGGCTCTAGGAAGTTTTTACTTTCTTCATGAATCTTTGAAAAACATCTACCAGTTTGATTTTAAAGGTAAGCAAAGGAATTAAATGCTATTAATTGTCAACTGGCTTTATACATGAAGGCAGTGCTGTCGTCTTTTCCTGAAAGCAGTGTCTAGCAGTTTTTCTGTGATATGCAAATTTCTGTATAATTCATACAAGTCCATTGCTGATAGGCGTTCCTTTTCTTACCTTTTATAGATCTCTTATAAGAAGTCAGTGGACTGGCTGCAGGTTGAAAACCGGTGCATTAATCATTCTCATGCAAAAGGGACCTTTGGATCCATAGAGATCCCTGATGATTTCAAAAGAATTCTGAATGACCACAGGGTTTTCTATGTAGATCAGATATAGGACCGAGACCTTAAATGTCCAACAGCAGTGGCCATTCTGCAGTGCTGCTGAGGTAGATTTATAGCTCAAATTACTTCAGAGCAGCACGGGTCGGTAGGAAAGTGTCATTGTTTCTAACCCACATTGATCCATCAGGTTAGAAGTCTTGCTAAATCTCAGAAGTTTAAAAGTAATGTTAGCCAAGTTACATTGTGTATTAGAAATATTGCAGACAATTATTGAATGCTTCCCAAAGGTGTATATAGCAAAGGTTCTGTAAAATTTATGTTATTTCAGTTGGGAACAGAAATGTTGTGAGCTTCATTTAGCCTCTTGAGCTGAATCACATTAATACTACATCTAGCATCCCATTAACTCGAGACACTGCTAAAATCTTGATAACTATAGAGTGAACTAGTTTTCTTAAATATATGGATACATTATTTTTATTCTCAGTCAAGACAAATTGTCTCTGCTCGTGTAATTGCGGCAGCAGAATCTTTCTCTCTTGAAATATTTGAGTGGTAGTTCCACATATATAACAATTAAAGACTTAGCCAGGGTAAGTCCATCTGTCATTGCCAATGTCAGTGCCTTAGGAAAATTTTAGATCTAATATTATAGACAGTTCAAAGCATCTTTTATTTCTGCGAGAGCGTGCTGGAGAACTCAACAGTGATGTAGAATCATAGAATCATAGAATCACAAGGTTGGAAGTGAGCTACAAGATCATCGAGTCCAACCGTCTCCTCATCACCATTGCCACCACCAGCACTGAACCACATCACGCAGCACGTTGTCCAGACGCCTCTTGAACACTGCCAGGGACGGCGACTCCACCACCTCCCTGGGCAGCCATTGCAGTGCCTGACCACTGAGAGAAAAAGTTCTTCCTTATGTCTAATCTAAACCTCCTCTGGTACAACTTGCAGCCATTACCCCGTGCTGCTCGTTGCCTGGGAGAAGAGGCCAAACCCTTCCTCACCACAGCCTCCCTTCAGGAGGTTGTAGAGTGCAATGAGGTCTCCCCTGAGTCTCCTCTTCTCCACACTGAACTATCCCAGCTCCCTCAGCCGCTCCTCATAAGGTTTGTGCTCCAGACCCCTCACCAGTTTCGTTGCCCTTCTCTGGACACGCTCCAGAACCTCAACATCTTTCCTGTAGCAAGGAGCCCAAAACTGAACACAGCACTCGAGGTGCGGCCTCACCAGTGCTGAGTACAGGGGGATGCTCACCTCCCTGCTCCTGCTGGCCACACTATTTCTAATGCATACCAGGATGCCGTTGGCCCTCTTGGCCACCTGGGCACACTGTGGGCTCATGTTCAGCCGAGCATCAACCAACACCCCCAGGTCCTTCTCTTCTTCACACTCATCCAGTCACTCATCCCCAAGCCTATAATGCTGTATGGGGTTGTTGTGCCCAAAGTGCAGGACCTGGCACTTGAAGGGACTTCACTTGTAGGGACTTCTAATGAGAGATCAGCCTCAGGGTCTAGCCTTTTCTCCCATTAGCAGACCCTGAGTAATAATAGAGATGGTCTTTAGTGGGTAAACTGTGCAGAGTTGAAATACTGAAGGAAATTGACGTTGCATATGAAGCTGGGTGTCTAACATGTTGCTTAGAACTGAACAGTCTGTTGATCCACTGTGCTTGTGAAGCAAAGGAATCAGTAGGTTCCCTGGTTTTTATTTACGATGGCAACATTCTAACTGTTAATTCATTTTGCCACGTGAATGGCTTTGTGTATCATAATGTGTGAGCTGTGTCTGCACACCCACTTCCTTATAGGTACCGCTACAGTTGCATCATAGCAGTGCTGGAGAACTCACAGTTTCTCTCTGAAACTAAAACTCCCTCCTTCTGGCCATAGATAGCTGTGTCATAGGTGGCTGTGTCGCTCTAGTGACATCTGGCAGAGCGAAATGACAGTTGTGTAAGGAGAGGAAATGCTTTCCGGCTCCATTTGTTATTATTCAACAGTTTATTTGCTACTGTAGAGTTTTTAAAAGAAAGTTTAAGAACTAAAAAATGAGAAACATGAAGGCAAAACTGTAGGGAAAAGTAATCAGTATATGAGAAACAAACAAGTACTTGTTTCAGGAAATAAACATTTTTAATGTTAGGTGTTTCATTCTGCTCATCAAAATGCATAATTACTCTTTAGCAAAGCCTGGTGAGGTGTGAGCCATGCATAAAAAGATGCGTTTGGGCCCAATTGTAACTTGGAAAGAAAAACTCTTAAAAAGAATCTAAGGAAGGCCATGCTGCACTGAAGTGGTGTTGGAAGTTGCGTGCTGATCCCTGATGTGGGACAGAATCAGTCTCCCAGTGTAGTGTTGGTAAAATGTCACCCTGAAGGATTCCATTAGGATGTATCTCTCATGACTGTTGAGATTTTCACGGTGCAGTAAGGTCCTAAATCAGAGGTAAAATCCAAATGGATACGTTCTCTGGGCCAAAATCACTATGAAGTTCCAGTTCTACTCAAAAGCTGGCAGAAAATCTGTGTTCATATACAATTTGATTTTCTTGTAGCGTTACCGCATAGAATTCACTTCATAGCTGAATGTGACTGAGTACAGTCTATGGAAGAGAAGATTGCTTCTGGTGTTGAGTTCTTAAGAAGAGATACTTGAGTTCTAAAGTGAGAATTTTTTCCTATGGTCCTCATGCATTATGGCTACAGCACAGGAGATGTTGAGCTGTTTCTACAGTTGTCAGACACCTCAGACCTACAGTTTAACTTACTTACAGTTAAACTGTTAACTTACAGTTTAACTACTGAAAAGATGCTTGCTCTGAAGAGCCATCGTCCAGAAGAACTGTCGTCCGGCAGAGGGTTTTGCTGACTGGGGTGTTGGGGTGATTTTGATCTGCCTCTTGTCCACAGAGCAGTGCTACAACTTTGGTTATCAGAACAGATCTAGTTTACTCTGGAGTGTTTTTATTTGGAGGTACATGAGAAGGCATGCTTCTTTTCTGCTGGATTGGTCTGTCAGCAGTCGTGTAAATGAATCCCTGGTTCATAGTTAGCACTGATGTTAATATAAGTTGATGGTAAAATGCCTCCTTTCTGCCAAGTGCTACCTTTTGTTTAGGTACTCCCAGCAAAAATCTTCAGTCCTTACAGTTCTGCCTAATGTGTTCTGTGTCCTGAATGACACCAGGATCTTTTTGCTGCTAATGTTAAACTTTCTCACAGAGGTACATCTGTCCATGATCTACTTAGAATGGTGGCACATTAGTTTATTGGGATATTTGTTTGGTCTTCCTAGTGGAGCCAGATCTCAAATTGACTGTCACATAATGAACAATGCTTAATTTTCTTTCCCCTGAAGATAAATTCATAGATTACAATTAATGTTTCCTCTGATTATATCAACTACTTTATTTAGACAGCTTAAAGGGGCAAGTTTTCGTGTTAATTGTTATTCTCACCAGATACCCAGTAGAACCAGTATCTTTTATTTTACTTTTTTTAACAAATCCATCTCAGATCAGCCCATGGGCGGCTCGTGTCCTGTTAGCAGCCCGCAGGCACTGCTGGGTTCGCTCCACTGCCACAGCCAACCCAGCAGAAGGCTTAGGTGTGGCCACACAATACAGTGGAGGAAGACTGTCAATGTTGTTGATTTAAAGCAAAGATATTCTGAATGACTGCATAGTGATTTGCTGCGTAGAAGTTGTGATTACTAATGTGTTAGAATCATCAGGTGTTTGGCTAGGTGGGCTTAAAATCTGAAGAGAGTTGCTAGATAAACCAAGCAAATAGTCATTACTCATAACAGAATTTGTGTTTTCCACCTTAATATGTATTCTGTTGTTTTTCCTCTTAATTATCCAGTGTAAATGGTTGGATGGTATCCTAGGATGTCAACGTACATCTCTTGGAAGAGCCGTGTCAGGAAGTCGGAGTGCTAGAGTACATGGAGACCTGATCTCCAACACTGTACAGTGCTCTGAATTGTAAAAGTAATAGTGCCACTGCCTGTGTAGCTTGAGAATGCCAGCTATAAGCAGCCAGGTGTGTTTTTCCTAAGAAAAACTCAGTGTTTATGTTTGCTAAAACTCTACCTTTACATAGATGCCGCTGCTCTTCCAATGGGTACTGTAAGAAATGGATGTTAAGTTTGCTTTATATCTTCTCCTAGCTAAGAAGTATAAGAAGGTTACTGGGAAAGAAATCTACTCGGACACTTTAGAAAGCACACCCATGCTGGAAAAGGAGAAGTTTCCACAGGATTATTTCCCTGAGGTACGTACAATCTGTAACGTATTTACAGTCATTGTGTGAATTTGGAGTTCAAATGGAGTTCTTTGTGTAGTAGGAAGTGCTTGTGAAGGATGGAGACAGTGATGAAAAGTCTTGTTTGTACATTTAGAACCAAAGAAACAGCAAACTGTGCCAACTGCAAATCTGTTTCAGGGAGACTTAATCCCTGACAGGGTGAGACGTGGCTCTGAATGGATCCCATTTGTATTCAGCTCTGTAATTGTGGCTGCAGTGCTGCTGGTTTCTCTTCAGCCTTGCTAGATACTCTCCAGTCACTGCAAGTGTGTGGGGATAGTTTCTTACCAGCACAAGAATACGTGAAATTTTCAGGTATTTGTGTGTTCCTCTCATGCTGCCCTGGCATTCTTGCTGTTCTCTTAACAACTGGGGGGTGCTGTGTGTCTGAGCTGGAGGTTCTTTCAAACTCAGAAACAGAAGATAAGCTGCTAGCTTTCTTCCATTGCGCTTGCAGGTGCAATTCCACGTGCAGCTGTTGTCCTTGTCTGCAGTTCCTTTCTTTGAAGTAGACTTCAATTTGTTCGTTCTTAATTCTGTGAAAATGTCTAGGACATGGCTGTGTTTAATGGTTGTTGTTGACTACAAACTGGGTGAATATGTTTGTTGAATTCCTGTAACAGCTGTGGATCTAGCTGGTACCCTGTCACTTTAGTATTAGAAAGAACTAAATAGACTTTAAGAATTAGTTTAGAATTTGTACATACCCACACTTAGAAACACTGAGGTAGTACAAGTGTGCTTGGGATAAGGTTGCAGAAATAGTTGCATGGAATGCAACCTGATGGAATGCTGGTTATTCTTCTTTCTTTTCTCAACTTCGAAATTAACCTCATTTGTTTATTTTCCTCTCTTCTGGAAAGGTAAGTATCTTTAATGTAGTTGTATGGATTTTATTTCCTCTAATAAACATCTCGAATACTCTTTTGGAGTTAGGCATTATATCATTTTGAGGGAACTCCAGGCGGTTACTGAGATATTTCTTTTGCTCCTCCGTCAGCAATAAGCTGCAGCAGTGCAGGTGATTGAGAGCACAAGCAGGACGCAGGCGGTGCTGCAGTGATTTCTCGTAGTGCTGAGAGCATCAAGCAGCAGCACGAGCACCGCTGCCGCACTTAACAGCAAGAGGCCGAGTTATGGATTGTTCTTCAGTACCTGTGAAGAGTTATTCCCACCGTTGCTTCACAGCTGCTCTTCCGCCTAAGACTGGCGTATCTGTAACTGACCCAGCAGTTTTTATTTCTGCCTTTCATGTGAGCTGATCTTTGCAGTCCCATGGGGAAATGGTGGCTTTCCCACCTGCACGGCGGAGCAGAACCTGGATCTGTTTCTTGTGGCAATTCAGAGCAGGTGTTCCCATGTTTGGTGGTGGAGCAATAGCTTCTGTATTTGTGTGTGGTGCAGCACTGCTTTAGGTACAAGAGTGGCACCATAAGAAGCAAATAAATACCATTTTGAGATCAGTTGCCTTCCTACTATAAGCGTTCCTAATCACTGCGTTGCCATCCCATTTTGCATCATGCTCAGCAGCAGAAGCTGTAGGGAGAGGGAAGGGCTCCTGAAACAGCTGCTGCCTGCCCCAGCAGCACTCTGCATAACAAGGTGCTGCTTCCCACAGCATGGCTAAACATGGTGGCAAGGGGAGTCACTGTCTTCACCTTTTACTTCCACACAGCCTTTGCTTTTAGCTTTCAGTGCACTGGCTGTACCTCAAACCCTGCTTCCACCACCTCATTTTCTTCCCTACCCTGCAGAGCAGTGAGGAGCAGCTGCACGATGCCTGGCTGCCGTCGTTGTCAAACCGCGGTCACTCCTCACGGGTACATCAGCATTTCCCTGCAGTGCCTGCTCTGCTCTGCGCAGTGCCTCGTGCAGTGCTGCTGCGCTCATGGAGCAGCGCGGGCCTTCATCTACTTTATTTCAGAACTTCACACAATGGGAAAGTGCCGAGGGCTCCCCAAGACTGCAGTCATGCGGACAGGAGAGGCGCTGATATTTGCAGTTCGGTGGCTTTCTGTGCTCGTTCAAGCCAGCATAGTTTTTGTTTGACTTGAAAGATGAGAAAACTGTGGTGGTTTTTACATTAGGCTGGTGGTTTTCTTTTTGTATGGAAGAGCGGGGAGTGTCTCAAGCAGTCATAGCTCAGCAATAGTGAACAAACAGCTGACGTGGTTTTGCTTCTCCTACACACATTGTATGGTATTTTCAAAAGTAAAATTAAACCCTGTGATTACCTATTACTGGAGCCAAATGCTGCTAGTAGTGCTACTAATTAAAAAAGACCAGAAAACAGTGCGTCTTTGAAACTAGGAGTTGACGCATCGGAATGCACGCGCGCGTATCACATCTACATGCTCCTGTATGTTTTAGCCAGACTGCTCATACTGCATTTACAATGTTTTTGTGTGAGAAATGGTTTAAGACTGATTTCTTTTCTCTTTATTACTGCCGCTTAAGGATGATCTAAAAGTAATTACAATGATTGAGGCATAATGCAATTCAAAATAATTACGGCCCACTGCCTATAAAACTAACAAAACTTTCTGTCCTGATTTATGGGTCCTCTTGGCTAGGCATGAGACTCAAATGATGCCTTTGGGAGCAACACTCCAGATAATGTTAGGCCATTTAAAAAAAAGCAGATTTGTGTAGTCTATCAGGCCTGAGTAATTTTTTTTTCCCATAGTGAGAAATTGGTTGTTATCATAGATCACAGATACTGCTCAAAGCTCTTATGAAAGATGAATTAATTTCACTAATGCTTTAATGCAAACCTTTCATGGAGAAGGCTGTATGGTGATAACCTTACTGCAGGCTCTCCTTTCTCAGTGATGATTTATGTTGTCTTTTAGTAGATGAAACTGCCTGTATTCACAATCCATCTGCTGGCTAAAGGAATCCTATTAACAGAGGATCTGGGAAGAGACTTAATATTGTGAGGTGAAAGATGTGGTATCCCCTGTCTGGGACATGAAGTTGGAGGGCTTTTTTCTGTTTTAAAATGTTGATACGTCTCAGAGAGCACAGATGATCTATGCTATCTCTGCCTGTTTTCGTACTGGCTTACAGATGGTTGGTCTGCTAGTGAGTATTTGTTCAAGTCAGCGTGAAGAGCGTTTCTTTAAAGTCTGTAGGATGAGGCAGTTTTCTCTTTCCTCCTTCCTGGGACATAGTTCTTTAAATTCTGTTTCCAAGATTTCCCTTTTCTTTCCAAATGGTCTACTTGAGAATATTAAAGCACATCAATGACCCAGAATTTCTGAGACTTGTTCAGCTGCGGTGTATATTTATATATATAAGGTGAAGGACCACATTTTTATATTTAAGAAGCTAAACTGTTTCAGCTTCTGGGTTGTGTTAGGTTCGGAGCTCGCCGACTTTTCCTTTCTTAATGTTAAATACATGAATTATTAACATGAAGTGAACAATTCGTTGAAGCTGAAGGAATTAATTGTTTTCAAGCCGTTAACATCTAACGGTAATTTACGGATTAGAATGGGGAATATACGAATTACACATTAACACAGATGCCATTGTGGATACAGAGGCATAGGTGTCCTGGCTTCATCCAGCCTGGAATGAGCAGTACATTCCTCAGATCTCCAGCATGAGCTTCTTGTGCTGCCTTTCTCTTGTGCTGCTGCTTTTGCATTAGGCCCAACCCATCATGTTTCCATCCACCACTGTTGCTTTTGTAATTATTCAAATGGTTATGTTCCAATAGTAATGTGATCATACCATATAGATATGCACTAAAGAAAGTCTTAATTGAATGGAAATGGGATCAAATGCTGAGCTAACCTTATCCTGTCAATAACAGCAAATACACTGCGGGATCAGAGCTCTGGTCTTGTTGTCTGGGACAACTCATGTAGCACTGCTGGGCCTGGCAGTCCCATGTGTGGCTGTCCTGTTATTACTTTGCTGCTCTTGCCTTAATAATATGAAATTTGTTATTGCTACCCCTTACTACTGTGGCACTTTCAGAATGCTTTAGTTAAAATGAGCTACAAAACTACTACTGTATTTTGGTTATTTTGGTTTGGGAGTCTTAAAATTTAATTCCATTTTATATACTCCTCTCGACCCCACTTTTTCTGTTTGAAAGAGAAGAACTTTACATTTAAATTGGAGAGTTTAGTGAAACACAGAAGAAAAAAAGACCTCAAAGATCCTCTAGTTCCAATCCCCCAGTCATAGGAGGGCTGCCAGCCACTGCACCAGGCTGCCCAGGCTCCCATCCAGCCTAGTCTTCATTGCCTCCAGGATGGGGCACCCACAACTTTACTGGGCAACCTGTTCCAGTGCCTCACCAACCTCCAAGTAAAAATTTATTTCCTAACATCTAACCCAGATCTCCCATTTTTTAGTTTAAAGCCATTCTTTCCTGTCCTGTCACTATCAGACCATGTAAAAAGTCAATCCCTCTTCTGCCTGCAAGCTCCCTTCCAGTATGGAAGGCCACAATGAGGTCTCCTCAGAGCCTTCTCTTCTCCAAGCTAAACAAGCCCAACTCCTTCAACCTGTCTTTATAGGAGAGATGCTCCAGTCCTTTGATCATCTTTGTGGTCCTCCTCTGGACCCAATACAACATTTCTCCTATACTGGAGGCCCCAAGCTTGGTCACGGTACTCCAGATGGGGCCTCACAAGGGTAGAGCAGAGGGAACAGTCACCTCCCTCTCTCCCTGCCACCATCCCTTTTTTGTTGAAGCCTAGAATACTGTTGTCCTTCTGGGTTGCAGTTGTATGCTGCTGGCTCATGTCCAGCTTTTCATCCACTAGGACCTCCAAGTCTTTCTCCACAGGGCTCCTGTCAATGACTTTTTCCTCTTGGTCTGTTCTCATATCTGGTGTTGCCTCAACCCAAGTGCTTTATTAAAATTCATTACATTTTCATGTACCCCCTGTTCAAGAGTGTCCAGGTTCCTCTGGATGGTGCCTTTCCCTTCTATTGTGACAACTGCA